GAAAGAATCAATAGAATTCAATCATAGAATTTAACTCTCCTCTCTTGTTTTTTGCTTTCGATAAAAGAAGCTTTGTTAGAGAAAAAAGAATGAAAATCACACAATCACAGAGGATAAGGCATCCTCCATTGAGTACAAAAAAGCAGGGGTCTAAAGCTCAAATTTTTTAACGTTCAATTTGCTAAAGATAAATGCATCCCAGTTTCTAAGAAGCTTGGAGATACTTATGGTGAGATAACAATCATGTCCTCTAGCCTATAGGATAGCTAGGACAATTATCCTATTCCATACCTCGTATGATGAGGTGGAACAGTCATTTGAATCTCCAATGGTTTCATACAAGCCATATAATCTATAGACCTACAAATAGTACTCCTCTCAACAGGGGTTTAGCACTTTCCTCACATCTTCCCACAAAATATTGCAACATAGAGAACTCTCCATTGTGGGAGGAGTCACCTAAATTAAGCTAAACGATATAAACATCCAAGTCCATAGCTTCCAAGCGACCTCAACAAGTCAGAGTGTGTCTCCCCTCCTTCACACATCACACAAATATCTGGAGACAAGGCACACTGAGGTCTGTCAACTTGAAGCATCCCCTTACTGTTAAGCTTATGGATGGCAATCCATGAAACACTTTTAGCTTTGATGGATTTGGAGCTTTCTAAAACATGTTCGCAATATCAAATTGGTTAGATAGGGGATTCGTTCTAAGGTAGTAAAAAAAATAATGGAACGTGGGTTGCGGGATAAAGTTTTTGATGGAACGTGGGTTCCGGGATAAAGTTTTTGTTCTAGCTAAGGAGTTAAATACATTGGTTTCAAGAGGTCCAATAGGTCTAGCATGTAAGAAGTCTCCATATCTAAAAGAGTATGGTTAAAGTGGAAGTTCCAAGATAATGCTCCAATGACGTTTAATGTGAAGCAAGAAACATGGTCTTTGTGTCTAGAGAATAAACTGTACAGGTGAAGGAATTCGGTGGCCATCGGGTTTGTCCCCCACTCAAGTGTCTTCCAAAAACTCACACTAGAGCCATCTATGACAAATCAGGTAAGTGGGATAAACAATGGGCGGGTTTGGGAGATGGTCTTCTAGGGACTTGAATGAGAACTGGATGTTCCTGCTATGGTATCTCATCCATCCCTTCCACTTCTGGGGCTGCTGTCAATCACCTTGTGCCACAAAAAGTTAGGTTCATGTAGAAACCACCAAGCTATTTAGTCAACAAGGATAAGTTCTTTAATCTGAAAAGTTCTAATTCCCAGTGCCCTCAAGCTCTTTAGTTAAGAACAAATTTCGTAGCTAAACAAATGGTCCATATTCTCGTCTCCTACTCATCCCCACGAGAATCTCCCAAAACGCCTCTCTGTGCTCTCTGCTATCCTGGCAGGAATCCTAAACAAGGATCAATGCCATTGCCCTTACGACATCAATTACAAAAACAGTTATCTTACTAAATGATCTCCCAACTAAGCAAATGGTCCTTATTCTCATCTCTTACACCTGCCCACACGAATCTCCTTATACACCTCTCTGTGCTCTCTGCTATCCCAACAGGACTTCTGAATAGGGATCAATGTCGCTGTTCTATCAGCATCATCTATTAAAATAGTGATTTAATTATTGCCTATTCTAGCAAAACCACCCAATAGAACCATCGTTAACCATTGGTCACTAAGGTCTATTATCAAAGTACCAAAAACAATGGAATGCTATAGAGACATTGCTTATGGACCTTAAGTTTCTGGTTTAAAGCCTCTCCTATCTAAAGGGGACCATGGAACACTTATTGAACTTTTCACTTCTGATTTTTTGCACTTGCTCTTGAAAATGGTGGACCCCTATTCCCTCTCAATCTATCTTCTCGTTTCCTTTGAGAAAAGTTAAACTTGAGCAAGGTTAATGCAATTTCCCTTTAATTTACTATCCAAAAAAATATTACTTATACAACCATGAAGTGTACATACGCAGACCCAATATGAGGACTTAGATGACAATGTTAAAATCATGAATAAGCTCAAATTTTGATTTCAAATAAAGATATTTTATTATACGAAGTGCATAACAATCTGGACATGCTACGACACCTGCAGAATTTCCATGTGATGCAACTACAATAGAGTAAGAAGATATTTCAAGCTAGTTGCAACTTTCTATAACAACCTTCTTGATTAATTTAAGCATTTAGGATGCTTACGAATATGGCAAATTAATTGTTGGGCAATATATGATACACACCAAGCTATCTTGGACAAAGACCACATTACTCATATTCAATACCCTAAAAAATCAAATCCTCATCTTTCCTCTGGAAATGAACGTATAGTTTTAGCTGACATGGGGAAATAGTTCACACAAATGCTTATTTAAACAATTATGATTTCTTTAACTGTTGTTGTTCATTACACACTAACATTTCCCACAAGTTTTGTGTGGAGAAACAAAAAATTAGAAACTTGGATTACCCAATTCCAGAGTGCTAGCAAATACAATTACCCAGCACTACAATGTTGTCGTCATGGTAAATTCCTCTTTAAAATAAGAGGTCCAAATTTCAAGCTCAACCTAAGAGGTATAGTATCTCCAATGTTTCACTACAAACATATAAAATTAAATAGACTTAAGAAAGAAAAATTAATGAAATTACCAGGACGAACTCTTTCTTGCCCCATGCATGTTCTTGGCTCACCTACAATCCCATCATTGCGCACTGGAGTACACTGAAAGGAAATGAATTTACCAATATCATTTTTTCCTATGCGATATTGGAGAAGCCCAGTGATGCCATCTATTAGGTCACCATGGTCACCTTCTACCTGTAAATTCAAGAGAACAGCCATATCAATGATGAGCACTTTTGCCGTACCTCTAGACTACCTTTGGCAATTTGGATAAGGTAGGCAATTGAATAGGCTAGTCTAAGATAATGACCTCAAGGGTAAATTAAACCAATTGAAACATTAACATAATTTAGATAATACATTTTTAAGATATATTACAAGAATAATTTAGAATGAGAATTTTTTCATAATTATTACATATGGATATCTCATTTCAAAATCATTAATGTAATGAAAACTAAAACATAATAAAACAAAAAAGAAAACATTATCACTATAGCTTCAGAGATCGGCTGCTGCTATTAAAGATTGGTGGCCAGCCAGTTGGGATTCAATGGAAGTCAAAAAATCGATG